ACCTGGTGACACAAACATGTCAGAAAAAGTGCACTTTCCACACGGTCCCTTACTCGCGTCTCCGTCAAGAGCAAGCTTTCCCGGCGAAACTCACATTGCGGGGTCTTTTGAAGGGCAGTGCTTATTATATATAGCAAAGTCATATTTGGCTAAGTCGTTTAGGAGGTAATTGCGATTTTTCAATGAATGTCTGGTGAATATCAAAAACAAAACTAACTTTACCCCGCTTAGAAGCTGCGCGGAGTGTACACAACACACACAACACAATATAACTATATTGTGCATGCTACAGAAAACATAACAGCAAACATTAATAATACTTACAGATTGTGATTCGGAGGAGGACGAACCTGATCCATATAATCACTGGATACTTAGCCCTCCTTCAGGAACAACCAGCTTGCGAATGAACACATTTGAATTCATTTAGGTTTTTGAATTTTGAATGATTCGTCATTAAAATGATGAGAACACAAGGTTCGGGCATTGCAAATGAACTCTGACCACTGATTCTTCACATGCTCGTCCCTGGACAATGGAAACAAGTGGCTGAACTGTCTTTGCAGTGTAGAACACAGCGACTTCTCAACATGATGCGATTCAACTGAAGTATTTGAATGTGTTCTAGACGTCACTTCAAGTTTACACTTCCATATGCGCGCGCAGTTGTTGGGAGCGGCCAATGATCTATCTACCTCACGATGTAACAGCTAATGACTCGTTAAACAAACAATTCATTTCATAGACTCAGAGTCGACTCTCACTTTTGAAATACGGTGCACTTTCAGATATAAATCTTTGCAGGATGTTTTAATTCCCTTAGAGCTATATTCCACACTACATGAACAGTCATTTTCAAAAAACCATGATAGGTGCTCTTTAAGTAATTCATTTGCATTTTATTGCATGACAAAAGTATTTGATGACCAGTTAGAATTCTGGCTCTCACAGAACTTCTCTTTAAGAAGTCCTCCAGTTCTCCTCTCATTACCTGTATTAACTACACCTGTTTGAACCCGTTACCTGTATAAAAGACACCTGTGCACACACTCAATCAAACCAGAGAATGTCTAATTGAAGAGAATTTGCACTGGCTGGTTACTTCCGGGTTCTGGACTGGCTGCAGTAACACGTCTCTTTCCATGCGGGGGCGCTCGTGGTCGAGTGCAGAATGAATGGGAGTCAATGGGGTTTCACCCGCAGAAATCCACTTTTCACAGGATGTAATTTTTTGTCAAGTAATTTGAAAGTTGCATTCAAAAGGGAGGGCTAAGAAAATACACTCAGCTGAAAATTGCATTTTTAAGTTCACTTATCTGTTCTAAAAATCCGTTCAAAAATGTGATGACGTCACACAATAGCAGAATGCTAGCCTGTTCCGGCCAACAACAGCCTAACCTGTAAGAAATCAAAAGGACATAATTTGTTAATTCAAATTTTGGCCTATAATCTATATTGAACTTGCGGAATCAACAATAAAATCTATTTTGATTTAACGACAAGCAGGTGAAAGAGACACATTTAGCCGTTTAGCCCCATAGACTCCCATTCATTCTGCACTCGCCTGCGATCACCTCCAGTGGAATTCTAATGGAACTGCAACCAAGGTGATGCACAATGGGACTAATAGGAAGTGCCAAGGATTTCCGTTAGACGGGCTCTGATCAAACAGACTCCAACCTCTCCATAATGGCCAAGACCAGAGAGCTGTGTAAGGAAAAGCTATTAATCCAAAATGCACCGTGGATGGCTGCCTCGGCGTGGAGCTCTCCAGTTATTGTGTTGATTTGTTTGTTTGTCCTGTGTTTAGTCATTATTTTAATATCAGTTTTACCAAACAAAAACTACATCAGGAAACACACACCAGAAAACTTCAATACAGTCTTTGAATATTCAGATGTTTTGCTGGACATTCTCGTCAGAGGGGCAGCGGTGTTGTTCAAACGCACGCTCAAAAAGCAAACAAGGAAAGCGAGCTGGGTTTCAGTTAAGCGCTGGTTAAACTCCTTGAGTGCGGCGTTCAAACTGCACTCCCTAGCCTTCATCTTGTGAATCTACGATCCCTTCCTAACAAAATGGACGAACTTCTTCTCCTCACCCACATTAACAAGGATTTTTTTTAAACTCAGCTGCTCTGTGCTTAAAGGCCTGGTGCATGTTAAACACTACTCTACTGTCAATTAATGGGTACATAAAGCAGTTAAGATATGTATATAAAGTTAGAAATATCTCCAAAATGGTGTTAAAGGGTTAGTTCACCCAAAAATGAAAATTAAGTCATTAATTACTCACCCCCATGCTGTACCAACCCCGTAAGACCTTCGTTCGTCTTCGGAACACAAATGAAGATATTTTTGATTAAATTTGAGAGCTGTATAACTACCACATTGGCTCCTAAGGGACTGCCTCTTGACGGCCCAGAAAGTCAATGAAGAAAATGTTTAAATATCCCAAGTGACTACCGTGGCTCAACTATATGTTTATCAAGCGACGCGAATACTTTTTGTGCGAAAAAACAAACAAAAATAACGAGTTTATTCGACTATTTCTTTTCTTCCTTGTAGGCCAGAACGAGACTTCCTTAGATTTCCACGACGCATGCGCGAGATTTGCGATCTGAATACACCAGCTTACACTACTTCAGATCGCAATTCTCGCGCATGCGTCGTGGAAATCTATAAGGAAGTCTCATTTTGGCCTACAAGGAAGAAAAGAAATAGTCAAATAAACTCGTTATTTTTGTTTGTTTTTTCGCACAAAAAGTATTCGCGTCGCTTGATAAACATATAGTTGAGCCACAGTAGTCACTTGGGATATTTAAACATTTTCTTCATTGACTTTCTGGGCCGTCAAGAGGCAGTCCCTTAGGAGCCAATGTGGTAGTTATACAGCTCTCAAATTTAATCAAAAATATCTTCATTTGTGTTCCGAAGACGAACGAAGGTCTTACGGGGTTGGTACAGCATGGGGGTGAGTAATTAATGACTTAATTTTCATTTTTGGGTGAACTAACCCTTTAAAGTCCAGTTTTTGTAGTTTTTGTTTAGTGACGGTTATTTTTCACGCGACTCGGCGATGACGTCACATGAGGTAGACGCAGGCTGCAGGCAGGCAGCGGCGCGCTTCAGAATCGGTTCACAGTAAAATCTGATGGTTCACAGCCGAGGAGAACGATGTTCTCGTCAGGGCCGTAAAAGAAAGAGAAATTACATTTTACAGCTTTATGCCTGTTTTTCCTATCGTCATGAACACAACAATGATTTCACTCGTGTTTAAATAGTTTTCCTTATAATAATAATGTATCATTTACAAAAAGTAAAATGCATCTGTGTAGCTGAGAGAATCCTCTACAGTGTATGCACGTTGTTCACTCTGTATCTGCAAGCATGCGCGCTTAAAATAGCATCTGAATGTGCGTGTGACCGGGTACTCTCCTCCCATGTTGTTGATTAAAGGCTTGTTCGACTTCATGCAGCTCTGCGCAGACCGATCGGCGGCTGACTTGAAACAGTGCATGCCGGTTAGAAATTTTGTCCGACTTGATGCAGCGCTGACTCCACGTGACTGTGACATATGCCATCAAAGTACCGCGAGAGCGATACGAGAGTAGCTGGAGGACTCAGCCAGGGCAGCTTCTCAAGAGCGGCTGCATGAGCTCTGATGATGTCACAGCTGTTCCACGATTCGCCAGATTCACCGCATGACAACGATCACGTGCGTTTCGTGTTTATTCTCACACCTTTAGTTCCACTAAAGCTCACAAATCAGTATTTTATAACAGTAAACACTCTTTTCATGTAGTTGCAATGTTATATTGTGTCATGTTTATCATGTTTATCAAAATAAAACTGATTAAAAAACGTAGATTCCACGTCATTGATTACAGGCTTATTTTGAACTTTATTCTAGTTCAAACAGATGCTGAATGAAGCAGTAAAGTATTGAATGAAAATGTGTCTGAAATATCTGTTTATTTGGCAAATGTTGCATTTATTTAACTTCAGCTGTGGTATAAGTATGCAAACACCACGTGAGCCGTCACTACGGGAACCAGAAATTGTCCGACTTCACGTCTCCGTTTGCAGCTCCTCCCCGCCTGCACGCGGCTGTTCTCGCCGATCGGTTGCATCCAGCCGCAGGCGATGTCGAACACACCTAATGTTAACTAATGCTCGCCGCCTACAAATTTTCTTTAATCAATGACGTATCATTTTGATCAGCTATAAATAGCCTATCTCTACTCTTGTTGACACGTAATTTCCGATTGCCCCGGGGGTTCCCCTTTACTTCCAGCGTCCTCGCATGGTGACTGCAGCTGTATCCCAGCAAACAAGCTTCTTTGGGGCCCGAATGGGGCCCTTGCGGGCAGCCCACTGTGGGCCCAGATACCGGCGTGAAATGCGGGGCACGTGTGGGCCCCACACTTCGGGACCCAGGTGGGGCCCCAGTGGGACAGCCCACAAGTGTGGGCTGACTGTGGGCAGGCCCACAGTAAGTAGAGTGGACCCCATTGGGGCCAGTTGTGGGCCCACGACAAACCCTTATAGGGGCCCATGTGGGGCCATTGTGGGCAGCCCACTGTGGGCCCAGAGACCGGCGTGAAATGCGGGGCACGTGTGGCCCCACACTTCGGGACCCAGGTGGGGCCCCAGTGGGACAGCCCAAAAGTGTGGCTGACTATGGGCAGGCCCACGGTAAGTAGAGTGGGCCCCCATTGGGCCAGTTGTGGGCCCACAGTGGGCTGCCTGCAATGGCCCCAAATGGGCCCCTATAAGGGTTTGCTGTGGGCCCACAACTGGCTCCAATCGGGGCCCACTCTACTTACCGTGGGCCAGCCCAAAGTGTGGGCTGACTTTGGGCTGACCCACACAAATTATAGCAGGCTGGATGTGGGCACACTGTGGGTGCAGTTGCAAAGTTTGAGCACACAGAGTAGGTACACCCATATTACTATATGCAGTACAATTGCACTTGTTAGCAGCAATAAATCGAGGGTCATGTTTTTTTCCCCAAATAATTTATTTATATTTAATAATAATTATAATTAATGATAATACATTTTAAAACAGCAATAACCACAGAAAACAGGGGATTGAAAATTAAAAATCAATCCCCTCAGGGGCAACAGTAGGTATTTCTGCAGTTCTGGCCCTTCCTTGCCGTCCCCATCTCTGTCCCAGGGATTACGGAGCCATGTCTTCATAGAGGCTTCCACATCACATGCAGTGGCTTGACTGCTTTTTGTCACAGCATCTAAGTGAGAAAGGATCAATTGAAATACAAATGTTAAAAACAAAATAAGGGTTGTACTGTTGAGCCATTTCAACCTAAGAAAGTTTTCAACCTGCACTTTGAATGAGGAAACGTCTTCTGATTGTTCCAGGTGCTTTTTATAAATGCTCAACTAAGAGAATGACTGAATAGGTCAATGAGAGAGCTGCGGTTTATAATAACATTTAGTTGTAAGTCATTTTGGTTGGTTAATGATGAACTAAGCTTTTACAAAACATTCATAAATGATTAGCAATTGATATACTAACATTTTATGTATGTTTTGTTAATTCTGTTACAAGTCATTTACAAGTGATTAGTAAATGATTAACTTATTTTTTATGAAACATGATTATGCGTTTCATAAATGTTTATAAGTGATGTTAATTATTGTATGTTTTGTAGATTCAGTTATAAATAATTTACAATTGTTTAGTTAATGATTAACTAATCATTTAGAAAACATTAACATGCATTTAATAAATGTTTAATAAAGGTTTTTATTTTCTCCCTTCTTATTAAAATTTAAATTTAAAATTACAAACAACCACCAGCCTGAAAAACATGTATGAAGACTGTTTAAAATACCCCTCCTAATCCTCACAGAATTTGCAAGACAGAACTGATAACACCTGGGCTTATCGATACTGCGGTGTTCCTTAAAAAAAGCTTGTAATTATTTTTTTTGTACTCGTAATGATTTGTCATTACAAGTGCACAGCTATGTGAGTGGTGTTATTAAGAGTGACCACGGTTAATAGATATGAAAGATATTAATAAAAATGATGTTAATTCAGCCAGCGCACATACCTCTATTTGCTTCCTGTTTTCGGGCGAAGCCCACAGTAGTCGATTGTCGAGTTCACGCGCGCGATCATAAGTGAATATCATCTCAAACCTCTGTGTGTTCAACATCTGATTCGGATGAACTATCCATTTGAGCTGATATTCTCAGAACACCACACAGTGGTAGGTTTGAGACGATATAAATGAACTCGCGTGTGAGATCGACAATCGACTACTGTGGGCATCGACAGAAAACAGGAAGCAAACAGAGGTATGTGCGCTGGCTGAATTAACATCATTTTTATTAATATCTTTCATATCTACTGCAGTCAGATTGACCGTGGTCACTCTTAATAACACCACTCACATGGCTGTACACTCGTAATGACAAATCAAGGATGTTAAGAGGCTAAAAGCAGGTTTAGACCATGCCCCATTGAAGTCAGCAGGGTGCGAATTTTAAAAAGATGATAACACAGTGTAGGCAACACCGATTTTTGTCTGTACTGACAGCACTCCAAATGTACAAAAAAAATTAGCTCAATGTTAAAATTGACCGGAGTTGTCCTTTAATTTGGCCCCAGGGCCCGTTTAATGTTTAATACCGGGTTTTGGTTACTATCCCAACGTATGGGTGAGTTCTTATGGATGAAGGCCTGTTGTGTTTGGTCTCTTGGTTTGTGATAGTGGCAGCTATTGTGAAACTCACCTTTGTCATGTACTGGGTGTGGATGGCATCAAGATCTGGTCCTGAAGAATCACAGGGTCAAATGATATCTCATCTGGTAACAAGAGCATAGTAACTTTAGAAACTCTAATGATATCTTTACCCCCTGATATTGCATTGTGGATTTAAATTCAAACATTTAAAGGCTAAGAATATGAGCCATGAGTAAACTGGCCAGATATCTGTGAAAAATAACTTGCGTGCCTAAAGTTGTTGACCCCCTGAATTCAGCATTTAAAAGTTAAAAGAACTTTAGTATTTATCATTAAACAAAAATACATGAAAATAAATAAATACCTTAGCGCTGGACAGTATGTGTCACAGAACAGAATGGCACAGACGGGTGAGTATTAACAAGGTTTATTGAATGACAGTCACAGGATGGTAAGTTGAGTGCTAGTTGAAGTTGGTGAGGGTTATGAACAGTCTGATGATGTTTTCCTTATCTGAACAGGAGCGGGAGAATGGAGAGCTGACCGGAACAGCGGAGCTGGAGACTGAAGAGGACTGGCAGCAGACGGGGACCAAGGACAGGAACAGACGGGAGACTGACGGGTTGGAGATACAATGCAGGTAAGTAGAATCAGGAACGTGCGGTAGCGATAGAGAGTCTGTAATCGTGGTAGAGACGAGACCAGACAATGAGTGACTGAATGAGGTGAGTATATATGGAGTGGATGATAGTCCGGCTAAGTGATGGCAGGTGGTGACGACAGGTGATGATGATTAGTAGTCAGGGGAACCGGAACGAGTAGGCGGAGTGAAGGTATCTGGTGCTGACGCAGATGGCCCCGTGACAGTACCCCCCCCCCCACGGCCAGCTCCAGCTGGCGGGCGGGACCGACGACGGGGACGGCCACGGCCCCTGGGTGCAGGACGACCTGGATGGGCCGAATGGAAGTCCTGGAGTAGGGTGGGATCAAGAATGTCCTCCCGCTGAACCCAACATCTCTCTTCCACCCCAAAGCCTTCCCAGTCGACGAGGTATTCCAGAAGACCGCCCCGTCGCCGGGAGTCGAGGATTTCTCGCACTTGGTAGATGTTATCATCCTCCGGGTCCACAGGAGGAGGGGGCACGTTCGCAGCACCAGACCCTGGGGAGGAAGGAGTGAGAGGATTAGTATAGGGCTTGAGGAGGGAGACATGGAATGTAGGTGCGATGCGGTAGTGAGCAGGAAGAGTGAGTCGATAGGTGACGGGGTTGATCTGCCTCTGTATGGCGAACGGACCGATGTATCTGGGACTCAGCTTACGACAGGGCTGTCGGAGACGGATGTCCCGGGTGGAGAGCCAGACCAGTTGACCCGGATGGTATTGGGGAGTTGAGGCACGTCGAACATCCGCCTGGGTCTTGTGTCTGCGGACAGCCCGCTGGAGGTGAGTGTGGGCTGAGTCCCAGACCCTCTCGCTCGTCTGGAACCAGTGGTGGACTGCTGGAACATCTGATGGTTCACCGGACCAGGGAAACAGTGGAGGTTGGTACCCGAGTATGCACTGGAAGGGTGTGAGCCCTGTGGTGGATTGACGGAGTGAGTTTTGTGCATACTCGGCCCACGGCAGGTAGCGGCTCCAGCAGTCCTGATGGTCGTGGCAGTATGACCGCAAATATCTCCCGATTTCCTGGATCTTCCGCTCAGTCTGGCCGTTGGACTGGGGGTGGTATCCCGACGTAAGGCTGACGGAAACGCCCAGGAGATTGAAGAAGGCCTTCCACACACGGGAGATAAATTGTGGACCTCTGTCAGATACGACGTCCTCGGGGATTCCAAAGTTTCTGAAAACGTACTGGAATAGAGCTTCAGCGGTCTCAAAGGCAGTAGGAAGCCCGGGGAGAGGAATGAGTTTGCAAGCCTTGGAGAATCGGTCGACTACCACAAGAATGCAGGTGTGATTGTGGGAACGGGGAAGGTCGGTGACAAAGTCGACCCCCAGATGGGACCAGGGTCGAGTGGGAATTGGTAGGGGAGTGAGTTTGCCTTCAGGAAGATGACGGGGAACCTTGGCCATGGCACAGACTGAGCATCCCCTGACGTATCGGGAGATATCCTGGGCCATACCCGGCCACCAGTAACGTTGTTGGACGAGCGAGAGAGTTCCTTGGCTGCCTGGGTGTCCAGAGCCCGGAGAGGTATGTACTGAGTCCATGAGGGACAGGCGTAGGCGTGTCGGGACGTAAACCCGTCCCTCTGGACCTCCCGGCGGAGCAGGTTCGGCTTGAGTGGCGTCGGTAATGTGATCGTCCATACTCCACTGAATGGGACTTACGACGATGGCTGGAGGGAGGATGGTCTCGGGACTTAGAGGAGGAGAATTGGGCTGGAACTGTCGTGATAGTGCGTCGGCTTTTACATTTTTGTGTCCAGGACGGTAGGTGACGGAGAAGTTGAAGCGGGTGAAGAAGAGCGCCCAGCGAGCTTGACGGGGATTGAGTCTTCTAGCCTCCCGGAGGTATTCGAGATTCCGGTGGTCCGTGATAACTGTAAACGGGTGTTGAGCCCCCTCCAGCCAGTGTCTCCATTCCTCTAAGGCCAGTTTGATGGCTAGCAGCTCGCGGTTGCCAATATCATAGTTCTGCTCCGCCGGGGACAGTTTCTTGGAATAGAAGGCACATGGATGGAGTTGCAATGGAGTCCCCTGCCGCTGGGAAAGAACCGCTCCTACCCCAGAGGTGGAGGCATCCACTTCCACGATGAAGGGTAGAGCTGGATTGGGAAGGGAGAGGGTAGGAGCGGAACTGAAGGCCCTTTTCAAGCTGTCAAACGCCCGTGTGGAGTCGGTGTTCCAGGACAGAGACTTGGCCCCGCCCTTGAGGAGATTAGTGAGAGGGGAGCAGGTCTGACTGAAGTTTTTGATGAAGCGGCGATAGAAGTTAGCAAACCCAAGGAACCGTTGAAGGTCTTTCCTAGAGGTGGGTTGTGGCCAGTTGTTAACGGCATCCACCTTCCTCTGGTCCATGGTTATACCACGGGGAGTGATGAGGTAGCCCAGGAACTGAACGGTGTCTCGGTGGAATTCACACTTTTCTAGTTTCAGGAAGAGTTGATGGTCTCTGAGGCGTTGGAGTACGGTTTGGACATGGCGGATATGAGTGGGTAGATCTGGAGAGTATATGAGGATATCATCGATATAGATGATGACAAATTGGTGTAGTAAGTCTCTGAAGATCTCGTTCATGAACCCCTGGAACACGGCGGGTGCGTTGGACAATCCGAAGGGCATGACGAGGTACTCGTAGTGCCCCGCAGGGGTTATGAAAGCTGTCTTCCACTCGTCACCTTCACGGATGCGGATGAGATTGTACGCGCTCCGGAGATCGAGCTTGGAGTAGACAGTAGCCCCACGGAGTTGTTCCAGAGCGGCGGGGACCAGAGGAAGGGGATAGCGGTATTTTACGGTGGATTGATTGAGAATACGATAATCAATGCAGGGGCGCAAGCCTCCGTCCTTCTTGCCCACGAAGAAGAAACTTGATGCGGCAGGGGACGTGGATGGTCGAATAAATCCTTGACTTAAGGCTTCCTGGATGTACTCCTCCATGGCCTTCTGCTCCGGGATGGACAGAGAATAGATCTTACCTCGCGGTAGGACCGCCCCAGGCAGCAGGTCGATCGCACAGTCCCATGGCCGATGAGGTGGTAAGGTGGTTGCCAGCTGTTTATCAAAGATCTCCTGGAACGCCCGGTAAGGAGGAGGAATGTCCGGGAGGGACACAGCAGAGGAATCTTCCACGGAGGTGGCGGAGAGAGAGATTTTCTGAACCGGAGTGACTGGACGGATAGTGGGCTTGGAAATGGCAGGCAGACAATGATGATGGCATTCTTCACCCCACTGTAAGACCTCACCGGTTGACCATTGGATATGTCGTGAATGAAGTTCCAACCAAGGGCGTCCCAGGATGATTTCGGCCGTCGAGCCCTCCAGCACCAGAAAGGAAATAGCCTCCTTGTGAAGCCAGCCGATCTCTAGCCCTAGATCCGGGCTGCGGTGTCCAATCCGGCCACGGCCAAGAGGTTTTCCGACGATGGACTGAACGTGAAGGGTGTGAGGAATGGTACGTTGCTTCGTTTGGAGCCGATGGAGAGTGGTGAGTGAGATGAAGTTACCGGCGGATCCGGAGTCAATTAGCGCTTGAACTGGAAGGGAACGGTTCATATAAGTGATAGTAGCAGCTGTATATTTCATATTCGATATGGATAGGGGTAACTGAACAGTACTCACTGCGGGTCGAGGTGGACGAATGGGACAGGTGGATAACATATGGCCAGCAGCTCCGCAATACAGACATAGTCCGTTGGTTATACGGCGATTGCGCTCGGAGATCGGTAGGCGTGCAGACCCGATCTCCATCGGCTCTGGTGCTGGAGGACTGTAAGCGGCAGATGGACGAGGAGGCGGAGGTGCAGGGCTATCTAGCTGGCAAGCAGTGCGGCGTTGATCGATGCGGATGGATCGCTGTATGATGCTCTCGATACCCACTGTGTCATCGTAGATGGCTAACTGAAGGCGAATGTCGGGATTCAGACCGTGGCGGTATGCAGTGATGAGTGCAGACTCATTCCATCCCAGCGTAGCGGCGAGGGTCCGGAACTGCAGAGCATATGCAGCCACTGATGATCTCCCTTGCTTCAAACGAAACAGCTGATCCTGCACGGCGATCGAGTGCAGAGATTGTGAGAACACTTCCAGGAAGTGATTGGAGAATGAGGCGAAGGTTCTGGTGACGGGCCCACGATCTTTCCATAGGGCATGAGCCCATTGAAGAGCCCGACCACGGAGAAGGGAGATGAAGAAAGCGACCTTCGATTCTTCAGTGGGGAACGAGGATGGAATCATTTTCATGTAGAGCTCGCACTGCAGAAGGAAGCCGCTGCACTCCTCCTCCTCGCCAGAGAAGGGCGCTGGTTGGGCCATGGGACATACAGAGGCAGATGCAGAGGAAAAGGCTACGGTGGAAGTAGCGAGCACAGATGCACTAGTCCGGGGAAGGGATGCTGTCGATGGGGAACTCGTGTCCGTGGTGGTTGTGGACGTAGGTTGAAGCATGTTTAGGTTGGTCTGGTCTTCTGTCACAGAACAGAATGGCACAGACGGGTGAGTATTAACAAGGTTTATTGAATGACAGTCACAGGATGGTAAGTTGAGTGCTAGTTGAAGTTGGTGAGGGTTATGAACAGTCTGATGATGTTTTCCTTATCTGAACAGGAGCGGGAGAATGGAGAGCTGACCGGAACAGCGGAGCTGGAGACTGAAGAGGACTGGCAGCAGACGGGGACCAAGGACAGGAACAGACGGGAGACTGACGGGTTGGAGATACAATGCAGGTAAGTAGAATCAGGAACGTGCGGTAGCGATAGAGAGTCTGTAATCGTGGTAGAGACGAGACCAGACAATGAGTGACTGAATGAGGTGAGTATATATGGAGTGGATGATAGTCCGGCTAAGTGATGGCAGGTGGTGACGACAGGTGATGATGATTAGTAGTCAGGGGAACCGGAACGAGTAGGCGGAGTGAAGGTATCTGGTGCTGACGCAGATGGCCCCGTGACAGTATGGTGTCTCATTGGCCAACATAATTAAAAACACACCTAGAGAATATACCAATGACCATGATATCCTGTTATCATAATAGTTAAATTAATTATTATAACTTATGACCATTATAACATTATATTATTTTGCCAGCTATTATTTAGCCTACAGGCTTCTCAAGGACAATATCACTGAAAAAAAAAAAAAAAACTGGGGTTAATGAGTGTGAGACTTCATTAAAAAGCATAAATCCTACAGACCCCAAACTTTTGAACAGTATGATTGAAGTTTTGCTTACTAGTCGAGTTCATAGCCGTGGAGGTTGTCTTGGGACAGGGCTGTAGCAGGACATCATGATGATTTTCTAGACTAGAAAATAACATGCAATGTGTCACAGAGCCAACAATGTTACATAGGATTTGCAATAGAAAGGGTTTATTACAAGGAATCAAGCTAGAGATGCAATGCAGAAAAGAGAAAAAGAATATATATAAAATCTTAACGTAATATATTGTGCAAGAAATGCATATGAAATTATTATCATGAAACAATAATTCCTCCTTTGTTGTGGAGGTTTTTTTCTGTCCCTTCTGAAATCACTTTTATTATCAATCTTTGTAAGTGACGTCACTGATCAACAGTACGTTACAGTGTGAATTCTTTCAGGCTAGCTAGCAATTAGCTAATTTCCAATAACCCATTGACAAATTACCAGCAAAACAAAACTATCAAAAACTGTTATCAACACAAAGATGTGGTTAAAACCCCAAACTTATGTAAAACAAGAGCTAACGTTAACTTAACTTAACGTTTAACGTTACCTATTCTGAAAACAGTTGAGATGCTAACAGACTTTTTCGAAGACTCAAAACCTTTTCTACAAAGTAAAATATTCAACAGAAGCGTATCAATTATACGTAAGAAAGGTGTCAGGAACGTTTGTATGTATTATTTGTGTGATTTTGTTAACTAAACTTACCTGAAAGCAGTGGAAAAACAGAGAGACGCTATTTTTTGCTGTTTGTCAGTTGAAGAGGTTTCCTCGTTTCCATGGTTCCCATCTCTGCTGGGAACGCGCCGAACGCGCGTTGAAATCATATCAATTCAAAAGGCACGCAGCATTTAAACATCTAGAATTATAACATGTAACAATTTAAAATATCATTCATTTTATATCATGAATTTAAAAATCATTATGTAGTTCTATGACCAATGTAATATTATTTTTTTCATTAGAATATGAAAGCACTAAAATGCTTTATATAAATGAAAGTTGGTAATGAAATTACGTCCAGTGACGTCGCAGTTTCGTTTGTGTCTGATTGGGCTCAGTCGTTACATCAGTGATGTAGGCCTATTTATTAGTATAATATATGTTATATATCAATAGTATAAATAATATAATATTATGATAAATATCCATCACTGATGAATACCAAAACATATGTAAACCATTGTATTGTTTTTATTGTGACAAATAAGTTAATTTTATTTAATAAATGTGGTAACACTTTCTGTGCAGTCCATACTTATAATGAATTATAGCACCATTTCTACTTATTTATGAGCAATATTACAATTCTATAAATATATTTATAAAGACTCATTAAGACCTACCGCATTACAATATATAGTTACATCTATATTTTTTTATAATTTTTTATAAGTCAAAAATTTGTTTTTAAATGCACATGCTCATAATCCATTATATGCAGTTTTAGTTAATTATGGACTGACATTTCACAGAATCGTTAAATAGTTTGATTAAGCTTCTAATATTAAACCTTCTAATGTTAAAACTTTTGACTGTTAAACAACTTAACTTTGCATGGGCTAACTGCCTGGGGCCCCATGTGGGTTTTCTGTGGGCAACAGTGGGTTGCCCACAGTAAACCCTCATGGGGGCCCCATAGTGAAAAACAGCTATGGGCCCCGTATGGGCTAACCCACTGGGGGCCTGTGTGGGTTTTCTGTGGGCAAACCCACAGTGGGTTGTCCACAGAAAACCCTCATGGGGGCGCAAATGGACAAATCTGCTATGGGCCCCGCATGGGCTAACCCACTGGGGGCCCTTGTGGGTTTTCTGTGGGCAAACCCACAGTGGGTTGCCCACAGAAAACCCTCATGGGGGCGCAAATGGACAAATCTGCTATGGGCCCCGCATGGGCTAACCCACTGGGGGCCCTTGTGGGTTTTCTGTGGGCAAGCCCACAGTGGGTTGCCCACAGTAAACCCTCATGGGGCCCAAATGGACAAATCAGCTATGGGCCCCGCATGGCTAACCCACTGGGGGCCCTTGTGGGTTTTCTGTGGGCAAACCCACAGTGGGTTGCCCACAGTAAACCCTCATGGGGGCCCAAATGGACAAATCTGCTATGGGCCCCGCATGGGCTAACCCACTGGGGGCCCTTGTGGGTTTTCTGTGGGCAAACCCACAGTGGGTTGCCCACAGTAAACCCTCATGGGGGCCCAAATGGGCAAAACTGCTATGGGCCCCGCATGGGCTAACCCACTGGGGGCCCTTGTGGGTTTTCTGTGGGCAAACCCACAGTGGGTTGCCCACAGTAAACCCTCATGGGGGCCCAAATGGGCAAAACTGCTATGGGCCCCACATGGGCTAACCCACTAGGGGCCCTTGAGGGGTTTCTGTGGGAAAGCCCACTGTGGGCTTGCCCTCAGCAAGCCCACATGGGGCCCCAAAGGGTTTGCCCTTGCCCACACTGTCCCACAGAAAACCCACACTTACCCACAGTGGGCCCGCACTGGCATGTTTGCTGGGATGCCAGTTTTCCCCGCTTTTGAAACAACACTTTCTTCTGGTAAGTTTTACCTCAGTAAGGGGTTGAAACTGCTGAGTTTTAGTCTGACAAGCCGGTATCATTTTAGCTTGTTCCAGGCAAGGGTAAATCAGTGTGCGACGCTGCCGGATCAAAACGAAACCAAACGATCTAAACGAGTGACCGTTCCGAGTGTTTGACTGTGTCTATGGTCGGGTAAGTTTTATCATGGAAAGAGACAGGTACTGTGTTTGCAGGCATTGACTAGGAGAGTGCGTGTTATTTTTAGCTCATTTCAGGCATAGGCAAACCAGTTCAGTGCGGCGCTGCAGGACCAAAACGAATTCACCAAGGAGTTTGTGACTGAAATTGACGCGATTTTATCGTCGGCTAAGTAAGTCTTCTCCTTTGTGGGTCGAGAATATTGGGCTTTCGTGCGGGCGTTCAACCATTGTGTTTCCCTCTTAAGGAGTTTGAAGACAGTTCCTTGCCTGTTGCCAGAATTTAACGCGAGGAATCGCCGTTGTCCTACCACCTACTGTTTTGTGTGCTTATTATTTAGCTTATAGTAATATGCATGGTTTATTATAGATGAGCTAATGACTGTTATTATTCATTTGTTTTCTTTGTTTTGAACTTATTTGCTGCAAGAATTCTAGGGTTCGTTGATTTAGTATTTGTTTTCTGTTTGATTTATAATTCAATTGGTTTTTTTCTGATTTTCTGTGTGTATGTGAGCTGAACGACTGTATTACTTCGTTTTCTTTGTTTTGAAATTATTCACTCCGAGAACTCTAGTGTTCGTTGATTTATCATTATCTGGTTTTCTGTTGATTTAACCCAATTGTGATTTTTCTGATTTTCTTTGTGTGGGTGTGTGTGTGTGTTTGTGCGTGTGCGTTAATTGCATCTTTTTGCTAGATGCTGAGGGCCGCAGCCAGGAATCCCCCCCAGTTTTCTACGTGTGTTGGTGGTGGTTTGAACATTGGGTGTTGTGTGCAGTGAGACTCTTCAGACTTTGTGTGAAGTGATTAGAGTGTACTCCGAGGTGTGGTACGATTCCTTCTTGAGCCCTCAGCAAAAGCTTTTGAGTGTAATGTTTTAGTGTTGCTGTGATGACTTTTAAATGACTGCATCCTTATTGACAACATAACTTTGTTTTTTTTTATGGCTGCGGTGTCTTGCCCGGTATGTTTGTCTTTTAATGTGTTTTTTTGTAATAAAGAGATATTTTTGTATGACAATCGTGTCTCTGTTCCTCACTAGTGCAACCAACTTGTGTGCCTTTATATAAAGTGTATCAATCATCCTCTGTGTATTTATCAGAGTGGCGTAGTCGGTTTCTGAGAACTGCAATTATTTCAATAGTGAGACCTTTGCGCCAAACTCGTGCAGTGCCTCCCCTTGCCACATACGCGCAAGTGCAACGCCTCAGACTTTAGACTAGGTTAGGGTGACCAACAGTCCTGTTTTCCCATTCTGTATTCACGTCCTGTCCTGGCTGTTTTTTTTTTTTTTTTTAATTATGAAAATGTCCTGGTTTTCAAAAAACTTCTGGGAAAGATCTAGCCTGACTACGTCAGACTTCCTACTTTCGCTAATTTCATTTCGCTCCTGTAGTGAGTCTGAGATAGCGGCCTATCTTTCAGTTTTCCACCGGCCTGAAAACAGCCGGCCAATCAACGAACAGAGGGCGGGCTGAGAGCCGTGACGTAGACGCTAAGCGCCAAGTTTTACATTGTAGGTTAGAGAAATCGAAAACCGAAACAACCGCAGAAATGGGAAACAAGACACGGGATGCAATTCGCTCTGTTATGGAGAACATTCCGGGGTTTTTCAAACTGAAGCAAAGGTCGTTTACAGCCATGTTCACTCCGGTATTTCGCTCGCATCATCAGTGTTTACAGCTAGGACCGTCGTGTGCACTTCTGCCGCTCTAGGCAAAAAACTATTTTGCAAATACGTTGCCCCTCTATTTGCAACGTATACCAGCAAAAACCAGCATGCTTGGCCATTACGTAGCTTGCACAACGCGCATACACTTTTGATTCTTTTTTGATTCATCAACACAGATGCAGCCGTTTTTATTTTTGCAAATCATTATAACAAGGAAAAATATTAACACTTCAAGCTTAGGCTACCCAATTTTTTCAGGCTGTAGTAATGACGGATCAGACCTGTTTGGCCATAACTATAAGGACATAACTTACGCCCATTCAACGTCAGTTCTCCGTCTTTTACGGCCATGACAAGAAATTCAGTCTCCTCGGCTGTGAACGCTCCTAGTGTGCTCTTATTACAATATTATTATTATCATAATAATAATCCACCATATTTTGTTTCGACATCCTGCTGCATTAGTCCCAGATATGTGATTCATGAAAGATCTGTTCATTGTGTATGTCACGTGGCAAATGAACGTAAGACTCGGAAGGTAAAGTGATTATGTTCCCTGTAAATCATTTTTTACTGCATTGTCACAGGTCGGGGGGGGGGGGGGCAAGCTAGACTGCACCCACCCCTCAAACCCAGGACCACCTCGAGGAGCGTACCAGAGACAAGACAGACAGAATTTCTAAAAGTAACAATCTTTATTGAATAAAAGCAAGAATTAAGTCTTAATATGGGCTTCGTATCTCTCTGCAGGAGGAAGGAGACCAGGAGGTTCACTGCGCCGACCCGGGTCGCTGACAGCCACAGAGGAGAAGGGAGTCGAGCGCCGGTCTGGCGTGCAGGTGAGTAAACGTGGTAAGTAGATCTTTTTAGGCGTATTACAGGTGAAAAGCCATCCAGGCGAACCAGGACCGGGACCACAGGCCAGGAGGGGACTCTCTCACCGGACAGGTATGTAGCAGGTAAGTTTTGTTTCAAGCGGTGTCTATACAGTAGGTGGTTGGCACAGGGGGCGATGGATCCAGGAGGGGGACTCACTGCCAGCCAGGTGGGTAGCTGGGTACATATGTCTCCTTTGTGTAGAGTACTCTCCTGTAGCGTCACTGGACAACAGGTGTAAGGTCCTCCGTGTGTCCTTCCTCCTTTAACGGCTCCAGCCAGGAGCAAGATATCCTCTAATCCAAAACAGAGACAAGTTTACAGGTTTGATTCTATTATGGCAAAGCAAGGACTTACAGCTGGGGCGGGTAGTTCTGGACAAGCAGCACTAAGGCTGGGGTGTGTCTCTCCTCTGTACAAGCAGCACACAAGAAGGCAGTGGCAAAAGGGTCTTCTATTTAAATAGACAGAGCATCTGATACAAGAGCAAACATGATCCCTTCGTATAA